GATTCTCGATTCTAATCTGAAAGTATTTTTTGGCGAATTTCTCACCACAAGGACAAAAATAAGACCTTTACAGTAAGAACAATTCACATTGTAACAAAATTCTTAAAATCAAAATTTTCTTAGCGAAAAATCAAAATAAAAAGTACTAAAAATTTAAGCTGTAGCTTAATTATGTTTGAAAAAATAATAAAAATCAAATTTTCTAAATAACGTGGTTTTTAAAAGATTTCAGCTTTTGCATATTTAACATTATATAATATCAAGNATTTATAGAAATAGTTCTTAGTACTCCTGTTTGCGCGTATGTTCAGATATATTCCTTCTACTACATGTGTATAATTTAATAAAGTTTTTAATATTATTTTCAGATATTAAATATGTTTTTTATCTAAAAGTTATAGTTAGTAAATAGTAGATTTTTTACCTAGGGCAGAAAGCACAATTTGCCCGCCCGACGGGTGCGGTTGTTGTATGTTTGTGCCCGAGGTGAGAACGACATTTTTTGTATCGAGGGTGGAAAGTGCAACTTTGCTTTCGTGGGCTCACTTTCGGCCCGCCTGTTGCTTTTAGCCGTAGGGTGGGAACGAACTTCGGGCCAGGCAGGGCCCAAATTTTTCTTCCTGCCTGTGGGCGGACAGTAATTGGCGGGCCGAAAGTGAGTCCACATGTGCAAATTTTCACTCTCCACCCTCCTTTCGGGTGCCCAAATTATATTTTCTGCCCTAGGAAGAAATTTACTATTCTTGTACAAAAACATTCAGAGGTATTTTACATCCATAATCCGAAGGGTTGAATAAATGGTCTATCTGGCCTTTGAAATTATGTATACAATAAAATATGTGTGATGATTAGTAGTCAAAATTTTTACGTACATTTAAAATTATAAATGTAATAAAAAAAAGAAATAGGGAAGTTCCTGTTTTTAAGGTTTGATAGGGCTTTGTAAGGTGACTCATAAAAATGATAAAACGATACTTTTATGGTTTCTATTATTTAAAAAAAGACAGTAATTTTAACTCTGATGTGTGATAAATCTTGCGAAACTTTTAAAACAGATCTCATATTTGTGTAAACATATACATATATCTATATCTTCCTATATTATATAGTCGTTAAGGTTGGGCTTTCCACACTCCTCTGATCCCCTCTGCCACCCTTCTCTTTCGTCTCTCTGCAAATAGCAGAAATTATATTGCTATCAATATTATTTTAATCCAATAACAGATGCTTGGAGCCCACTGAGCCCCTTGAAATTTGTAGAGCCCCCCCCCCCTCCACTACGAAATTACAGAAATTTCCATTGATTTATTCCATATTGTAACCTAATAAATCACTCCGTTATCTTTTTATGACCCCCTGTACCCTCATCCACCCACCTAATTATTTGTGGATGCCCCTCAAATTTTACCATTATCTCCCTCAGCCTCTCTGCACTATTTACAGAACACATGTCACTGTTTTACAACCACCGCAATTATTAAGAAAATTTAATAGATTTGTCCGTTGTTTGAACCTAACAGAATCGTTCTGTACGTTTCTTCAATTTACCTTGAATAATAAATATGAAACCACTCTTTTTAGTTTTGTATTGTCATCTATTTTTTTATTCCATTTAGTACATAACATCAACTTTGATAAATGTCAAATTTGAGGTGCGTCATTTATTTCTTGTTACTATTATTTTTCTTGTACGTTTAGTTTTTAATACTTACATCTCATTCTGAGACGTTATAAAATCATACACGCTAATTAAAATTCAAGTCGTAAAGAACTAATAAAAACCGTGGTAGTCAACACTAGTAGCTAAATGAAAGGATGGCGAGACAGAATACAGCGATACTTGATTTTAAAATCATAAACAATTACTAATCAATATAGTAGTTTGTTTACTTATTATTATTTCATTTAATAAAGACAATTTATTTGCGCTTGCACAGTACCTCCTTTTTTTAATATTTTGTGTGCCTTTAATAAATACATTTTTTCGAATACGTAATAAAAAAATGACTATTAAGTATGTTAAGGTTATTATTATCTATGACTATAATTTTCATTAAATAACATTTTCAGTACAAAACTTTCAAATTCGCTTCTAAATTGAAAACAAATTTTGCTAACAAATTAAATAGATGATTTAATTGGAAAAAATAATATAAAAAGTTCTGCTTATTTTAAATTGTTACTTTTGAAACTTTAAACAAAGTTTTAACATATTAAAATATCATGTAATATACTGATATTTATTGATGTTGTAATTTACATGAATACTTCTAATTCTTTTTTTTTCAATACGTGTATCTCCTGATAATGAAAAATTTCTTTTCAACATTGTTCAGTTTCTAAATTTTATTTCTTTCTATTATCATGAATATTTTTAGTTTTGCATCCTGATAAGGATAAGTGTAATTATTGACAAAAAAAATTGTAAAAATAATTTGTCGTTAGATTCATTTGAAGTCCACATTATTTATCTGAACATTTGTGTAATTACTTTATTTTCATAAAAATGTAGATATATTAATCTCATAACATTTACATATTGCGATAGACAAGGGTTGACGTGCAAAGCTCTTAGGAAAATTTTTCAATGTTAATAATATGTAATCTCAAAGTACGTGAGGTATACATAACTTTCCTTGTACGAGTATGTGGAACTTTTTAAAGGTTGGTAAGGGTTAAGGAGAATTTAATAATAACCGTGCAGAGAGTCAGTGGACAAGGTTTTTCACAGTTGACCGTAATGATTTTTTTTTTTTTTTTTTTTTTTTACACAAATATTTTTGTAGCGATTACGTAACCCAAGCTGCTACTTTTGACGTCAGAACCTAAATCGACGGTCCTTTCATTTTTTTCCTTTTTATTTTACTCTTTAGGTAAGTCTACAGTGGTTCAGATTGCTTGGCCCTTTCTCACACAGTTTGGTCACCAAACTAAATCTTACATTTGCTTGAAAGGCACGATTTTACACGCAGCTTAATTGCTGAATTAAGTCTTACATACGCCTGGAAAACGCAACTGAACTCTCTGTTTAACATCTTGAGTTACTTCAGAGTATTTCATAAAAGATTACAAGATGTTACTTAGTACATGCAAGGAGTTTTTATGCTCTCGCATTTAAGAAACATACTTTAGGTTGGGAATCTAAACAACCACTAATAGTTCAACTTTACTATCATTGATTAACACTTGCACAATTGGGGTGCCATAAGTATACAGCGGTTAATAGCTTAAATCGCTGATTTTTCGGATTTAATATTTTGGTACAAGTTAATATCAAAGTGTGGGGAGGATTGACCTAATATTTATTGATTAAAAATAACGGAGAAATAACAAGAATTTTCTTCTCCTCATTTGTGGGATAGAGACGGTGGGGGCACTAGGGGGTTATGTGGAATGCCCACACATTTAACTGTACAATATAAAAAGATATGTATTTATGAAAAGTTGATTATGCATACGTTTTGGAAAAAATGCAAGGGTAAATACGAGGACAAAATCGTACTCATGTGGACAGTTCGCGTAACGTTCCAATGTTATTAATTTACATCATAAACATACACAAAGTTTGCATGAGTCACCTGTCATAAATGTTTATATGCAACAATATATGTTCTGTCTTACGAAGCTTTTTAATAATTTATGTAATTTTATTGTCACGGCTTTAATTTTATACTTATTTTTTAACTATTTCTGAGCATAAGCAATCAACTTATCAACTAGAAGTATCCCAGCTTATTATCTACTTGTTTCATTATTTTGAAAGTACTAATTATAAAGTTCCCTTAATTAAGTAATCCTTACCATAATACCATTCAACATTTATGAAATAATTTCTTTTAACTTATTGCTATTATAAGTTTGTGTAGCTTTATTTGATAAAATTATTTTAGTCCCTTGGGTGCAGTGCTTTGCGCCCTACGGCATACGTTCCACTCGCTAATTACTTTGGGCCTACGGGCAAGAAGAAACATTCTGGCTCAGTTGGGCCCGAAGTTTGTTCCCACCCTAGGGTGGAAAGTGATTGGCGGGCGGAAAGTGTGCCCACGGGCACAAAGTTGCACTTTCCGACCTCGATACAAGAGATGTCGTTCTTACCTCGGGCAGAAACATACAACAACCGCGCTCTTCGGGCGCGCAAGTTGTACCTTCTGCGCCTATAGAAGTATAACTTCAATTGCTAAAAAAACAAAAAAAAATTACCTACGAAAAGACCAAATTTTTGTTAATAAAACTCAAATATGATTCATTAAATGTGTATACATTGGATAAGCACCTTCAAATATTTTCAACACGCTATTTTTATATTCGCCTCGCGATCCATTACAATGCTTTCATTATGAGTAGGAAAAATTATAAACAATTGAACCTTCGCATATTATAATACGGAGCACTAAGATGTTTCAACAGATATAGTATGGATGACAGATAGGCCCTTTAGTAAACCTCTACGTACATAATGCTTTTGATTTATAACTTAAAGAAACAACTAATAAGTTCCTTATAATGCAGCTTCTATTTATCTCTAGACATTATTTTATTAACCAATTCTGCTGCACATAAAAAATATTCTTGGTACACACTGATATAACTAATTGTTATCCTGAGCAAGTATCAGTGTTTTGAACTTTAATTTACCTTAATAGAATTTAGAGAGAGACTTACAAAGTTCTGATATCTAGCAGAATTGGAGCCCTCTACGTATAAAACATCATGTAAAACATCAATAACTGAGCTATCGGCATCGATTCAGTTTCTCGGAAACTAAAATAAGAACAAACTTTGTTATGCTGGATTAAAAAATTTACGTAAATATTACATGTAAGCACTACTAGAATTGTGGGTCAGTAGTTAATAATAACAGTAAAAACTTTACCTTTATTTATTTATTTTTTTTTTTTAAGTCGTAATCTGACAAATAGTTGTGCATCAATATTCATATATCTTCTTATAATCATGTGATTATTTTCGTTGATATAATAACAGTTGTAAATTTTTTACAGTTTACGAATCCTTTAATGACTATGTGAGTTCAGAAATCTTGGATGGGGATAACAAATATGATGCTGGAGAACATGGTCTTCAAGAAGCAGAAAAAGGGGTTATGTTTTCATCTTTTCCCCCTGTCTTACATTTGCATTTAATGCGATTTCAATATGACCCGATTACAGATTGTTCTGTTAAATTTAATGACAGGTAATAAACATTTTTTTAAACTCAAGATGTCTGCATAATTAATACTTTATAAGATAATTTAAAAATTGTTATAGATTTGAATTTTATGAGAAAATCAGTTTGGGCCAGTATTTGAAGTCAAGTAAAGAAGATCCTGCTGCTGATTACACACTACATGCTGTTCTTGTACATAGTGGTGATAATCATGGTGGACATTACGTAGTTTTCATCAATCCAGCAGGTGATGGCAAGGTAAATTTTTAACAAAATAAAGAGACATTTATTAATAACATTCGGATCCACAGAGAAAGGTGGGTTAAAAAATCTATATATAATATTGCGTTTAAAGAGGTTATAACAGCAATTTCTACGTAATATTTTTTTATGTGTCAAAATTTACCTAGCAATAATCTTTAAATGCAGTTATTACGTGTCTATAACAAAACATTTCCTGGCTCTGTGGCATTGATCGCGTATAGTTACAGAGTTGTCTTGATGACTTTTCTCCAAGAAATATATAGCTTCCGTTACGTATTAAAGAGTGATTTATACAGAGTTTTTCATAATGTACTAAATCAGTACATTATATAATTAAACATACTTAATGTGACATATGTTTTATTATTTATAGCTAACGCGTAACACGTAAATAAATTAATTATATAAAAACTTGTTTTGATCGTATATTGTTGCACTGATTGTACAGAGCCTGTGAGGGGTCATAATTATGTATAAATTTATGCAGTTAAATTTAGTAAACGGTTTTCAATGAGAGTTCCTATACGTGACGTCATAAAGTCATGCATGTTATCACGTATTAGATACTGTTTTAACAGAATATGAGCTAATAAGGATTCGTAAGTACAGAATTGGATTCAAACTGCTCCTAACACGTATTACAAAACACCTCAGTGAGAATGTGTAGGGACGTACCCAGGTTTGTAATGGCCCTTACCCGTAGTACAAAACATTCCTAGATTACTTCGATGACTTGGACAAAAAAAAGCTCAACTTAGATTTTGTCGTTTAAAATAACATGAAGAAATCTGAACTGGCCTTTTTTTCGTCCGGGCCGTTGACTTACTCCACTGAGTACAAATGTCTACACTTCTATGTTAGTTTTGGGCTCGATAATTTGACAATGCCTTGGAACCCCTCAAGCTCGTACTATTCTAAAGATCCGCGAGCTTACCAGCTATCTTGCCTGAAGAATAACTCTGGTTACTCGGAGATCTGCTCATTATCCGAGTTGAATAGAAGAGAAGTTACTGATGAACGGATAAAAGTAGGAGACTGTAATAGCCTTGCCACCGCCCGTCTTTCCAAGATGGTATATAATATGCAAGTTATAAGGTACAAAGTAAAAGTTGAACATGTATGTGTAGGTATGTATGTATGTACATACACATATCCGCGCGCTCATGTGTATATTTCTTGACCAAAGGTGACTTATGCAGACATTTTTAGGTCAAAAATATGGTACAAAAGAACAAGCTAGAGCTTGTATTACGTCATAATATGGCACTAAAATTAAATCATAAAAAACAATTTTTTTTTTAACTATAAAATAGTAAATCCATAAAAATGTCATTATTAATATTGTTTTTTAAATTGACTATAGGTATGTAATTTTTTTAATTCTATGAACGTGGAGATTTCTTTAAAAAAATTTGTATTGCTGTATAACATAGGTGAGTATTGACATTATCTCTTGGAAACGTGAAAAATTTTATGTCTGGTGATTTTTCTTGTGTTATCCTTACACAACTTTAAAGTACCCTGAGGCGTTCTCTTACAATGAAGCTACATACTGTCAATAATAATCAACTAAAAGGATGCAAAAAAAATGCTGGTGAAATGTTCAACATTATACGTAACCATTTAATCAGTATCTGTCTGCTGCTGCAGGCTTACGCGCAAATGTGTCTAGTTCATGAATCTTTTTTTCGACTATAAATTTCCATTTACAGACAAAAATTGTTTCTCTCAGGTTTTTAGATAAGTTAATGATTTTTAGGACTTAATTTTAAGGAGTCAACGGTTTGAATTCAGCACCATTTTATAGCGTCATACAGGCTCCTGTGCAAACTATACCGAAATCGGTATGGCTTATGGATCTACCTTGTTTTCTTGTACCACGGGGGAAAACAACAATATTTAACGGTTATTATAAGAACAAAATGGTATCTATGCATGCATTGTCCATCGGTCCATTTAACTTTTTAATGTTATTAGTTCATGTATGAAAAGCATGTGATGTCTGAATTAGTCACCTTTTATCTTTCATATGCATTTATAAACGTATATTTATATATGTATATAAAACATATGTCATATTTATATATGTATACATAGACATACATATTAGAAAAATAGTAACATAAGTACCATTTAAAATTTTTTGTTTTGCTACATGCTATATAAATCTATAAAAATCTGTATTAATAGATGGATGGACAAAATTATGTTACGTTCTTAACATTAAATACAATGTTTACAACAAACATGAATCAACATATAATAATCACACTCATGATTTTTTAAGTGTTGAAGGTCTAACCCACATATCCCAATAGAAATAATAAGGATACTACTGCTATCGAGCCTGCAAATCATGATATCTGATTTAAGTGCGTGTGATTTGGAACATTGTTTGGATTATTGTTAGCAGTATGGGCTTGAGCAGGTGACTTGGCGAATAAAAAAATACAACACTAGAAAAATAGAATTAAACTTGGACACGTTTATTCACACTATCCTTAGGTTTAACTATCTTAACACTTTACTATCTTAATTATAGTAGCTAAACGAACAGAAAAGTTAGGATAAACTGTAAAGGAAATGCGAAGACAGAGTATGCGTGTGTTAACAGACTGGCTAACTGCGCAAGAGTGAACAAAACCGTAGTTACTTGACGCTGAAGTGCAGCGTCACTGCGTCTCGTCTTCTTGCTGTTGCGCATGCGTAATAATTCAGTAACGAGTGCCAACAATACATCTAACACTCCCTCCCGTTCGTACCTGAATTTATTAAAATGAAAAGAAAAGATATATTTGAACATTGACACTGAATATAAATGAATATTAATCAGCCAATGATGTGGAGCACGTGGGCTTCTGGGTCACTCATTGTGGTTGATTCTGACGAGCTAAAACATACACAGAAAATACATTAATCAGCATGTCTACCATCATTATCTATCTATTATCAATTTACTTATTTTACTATCTCAAGTTCAAATTTAATTATCATGCATTTTACGCTAATTAACATTCAAATTTCTTTCGTAAGTCTTTCATGCAGTTCAAACGGCAGGGGATTTGTAAAGATATCTGCTAGTTGTTCCTTGGATGGAATCCATTTAACAATTATTTTTCCTCTGAATACACATTCCTTAACGTAGTGAGCCTTTATCTCGGTCATGTGTCTCAGTCTTTTGCCACCATCTATCTTAGCACTTGCTCCGGCGGCTTTGTTGTCACACCATTGATCTGCGGGCAATAAAGTGCGAGACAATATAATACTTATAGAGTGCTCTAGTCCGATCAATTCTTGACTTGCGTCGCACATTGCCACATATTCTGCTTCGCAGGTTGAAATAACAACATAATTCTGCTTTCTTGTTTTCCAAGCAACTGTATTCCCATAGAGCCTTAGGAGATATCCACCTATTGTTATTGAGCCTTTACAGTCTGCCAAACTCGCATCTGAATAGGCTTCTTATCCATCTTTACAGCCTCTGTAAGTTAATCCTAGTGTTCTTGTGTGTTATAAATATCGAAATACCCGTTTGACCATTTTCCAATCATCTTCAGTTGGGCCGATTTGATGTCGACTCAGTACATTCACCGAGTATGAAATGTCTGGTCTAATTGCGTTGGCTAAATACAGCAGGCTACCGACTGTTTTTATGTACGGCACATTTTCTCTCGTTACCGTTGTGCTTAACTCTCCAGACTCTTCAGACTCTTCTCTATCTTTTCTCTGCCGATTCAAAACTTGATTTGTCACCATTGGTGTTCTGTGGGGTTTTGACTCGTTGAATCCAAATTTCTCTAACATTTTATCTATGTATGGTGTTTGTGTTATTGAAGTTGTATGAAGTTTTCTATATCTTTCCACTTTGATGCCTAGAAATGTGCCAACCTCGCNATTGCACTCGTAGCATAGAGTGCTGGCGGTTGCCGCGTTACGGTTACGTCGATGGCTGGTCGAGAGCCTGCCCCACCTCGGCTTGGCCCAGCACCACCTCGCCAAGATCTGAGATCTCAAACTCAGATTGCAGACCAGTCTTAATTTCATTCATTTTGCCTACACAATTGCTGGCTATCATCATATCATCCACGTATAGGATCAGCACTAGAAAGTTATCGGCTTCTCTCCATATACAGAGACAGGGCTCGCTCGTATGTGACCGTAGTCCCAATTTAGATGCAGTCTCGCGAAACCGCTCATTCCATCTTTTTGGGCTGATTTTAAGTCCATAAAGGGCTTTTTCCAATTTATAAACCTGAGCTTTCTTGAAACTGTCACCATCAAGCAGGCCTTCAGGAATTTCCATAGATATCTCTTCTTTGATAGTTCCATTTAAGAAAGCTGTCTTGACATCAAGTTGGCAAGTCTCCAGATTGTATCTATTTATTATTGATATTACTGATCTTACCAGGGCCAGCCCAGACTCCGGGGCATAGGTTTCTTGCAGATCATACTTGTTCTTATCTTTGAAGCCACGAATCACCAACCTCGCTTTGAACTTCGTGTTTCCATCTTTATCTATTTTTTTCTTCAGAATCCACCTAGAGTCGNCCTATCTTTGAAGCCACGAATCATTAACCTCGCTTTAAACTTCGTGTTTCCATCTTTATCTATTTTTCTCTTCAAAACCCACCTAGAGTCGATGATGTTGGACTTGCCACCTTCAGCGTTCACGGTTGGTCTTTCTACAAGTTTCCACACTTGGTTTTTCCGCATTGATTCTAGTTCTTCATCAATTTCTCTGAGCCATTTATCGCGATCTGGAGATGCAACAGCTTCTTTGTAGTTTGCGGGATCTTTGTTCAGTCCAGCAATCAGGACATGTGACATTTCATCTTCGACTTCTGCGATCAAACAGTCAACATCGCCCTTCGATTGAAGCAGTTTATTCAACTTGTTTGTGTCGATGGCTCCTGCAAAGCTCGTATCATTTATTATAGTGGGTTGCTTAGGGCTTTCCTGACCAAGATCTCCAACTTTCTTGGACCGATCGCGCT